CCGTCGATCCATAAACATCGGAGCGGCAAATAGAATTGGCGGCGTCAAAACGCTCACCTTAGATGTAGCACCGCAGCGCTGACATTTGCCAACGACTCCACATAAATCAGATAAATATATATAGGTTTTATATATATATCATGGGTTTTGCTGAGAGTGGGAGTAGGGCATCGGAGGGCGGCTTTTGTCCTTTTATCCCGAAGCGATCGATCGATCGATCGATGGTCAGGCGGCAATTTGATGGCCATGAACAGTTGACAGTTGACTTTTGATTCGATTCAGCAGCAGAAACAATCTCAAAGGACAGTTTGGAGACCTTAATCCTAATACTAGTCCTGAAACTCAAGAATGATACGACCTTTAAATATTTCATATATCAAATGAGGGAGTTACTAGGATCTGTAACTCTCCCTTTAACAAATCAACTTTTAAGCCTTTCTAAATATGATCAAACCCTAAGTTGTGTACGATTTGTGTTAGAAATCCAAGAGGATCCTGATCCTCAAGTCAAAAGTATCTGAAATGCAAAGTGCTGAGGAAGATCCTCAAGTCAATGACAATAAACCGACCTTGGAACGAGACGCACGTCTGAAATTGGATCGCTAAATGTTTTCGGTTCGAAGCGAGGCTCCACTGTGGCTTAAAAAAAGGGTGCCGCTCCACCGAAGTGTGGAAAAAATGATGCGATGTCAAGCTATTGACAGCCCGAGTCGATATTAATGACGACTTCATCTTCATTCGCTGGATATGCCACATAGCCTCCGTTTCCCTTACCCTTGCCTCGTTTTGCCATCTCGCCATGTCTTACTAGCAATTATTGAACTAGTTAGTCGGCTCCAAGGAAGCCAAGAGGACAGCAAGGAGCAAGGAGGAGCAGGAGCAGGAGCAGCAGAAAATATTAAGAAACGATCCTCACTCGATTCGGCTCAATTATGATCGTAAGCAAAGCAGTGGGGCTAAAGGCAAAAGGCAAAGCCAAAAGCCAAGGGCCAAGAGCCCCACGACTTACGTACATATTTAAGCCAACATGTCAACATAATTTATATTAAATTTTTGTGTCAGATAATGATAGCGCCTCCTGCTGCCGATCGCCGATCTGCATGGAGCAGGGATCCGACTGAGGACCAAAAGGCATCGAAAAACATCGAAATAAAATACAGACAGGATACTCTACAGGGGCCCCAGAATGCACCAACTGATGTGAGAAAGAAATATACGTAGAGAGTTAAAAGTTGTAACTGAAACTATATAGTTGATAGCAAGTAAGAAAGGTGAAGAGAGAAAATAATATAAAATAATAACAAAAATTGACTAAAAGTAAAATTTGTATTCCCTTGAAGGTTATTATAATTTTAGTAAGTGAAGTAACCATTTCCGACCCTATAAACAATATATATTCTTGATCAGAATCAACAGAGGAATCTTTCTGAGTACAAAATAGAGAACAACATTTTTGAAAATTTTTTCTATATTTTTGAAGCCTTATTTTCATAGTTAACACTCTGAAAAATTGATAAAAATTCGAATAGTTTAGAAATTAAATTTTGGTATGCACGTTTATTATTCTATTAAAAACTTGAACAGAACAGCTTCCAGAATCGAAATTAATTCATTTTTGGCTTAGTTATGAGATTTTTAAGCTTTGATTTGTAGAACAAATTGTCATATAAAAATATCGAACTATCGACTCAAAAATGGTATTATTATTTCAGTCAGAAGTTAGAAACGCATTGAAGTAAGCATTTCCGACCCTATATTCCATATATTTTCTTGATCAGCATGAACTGGCGAATCTTTCTAGCCTTGAAATAGAGAAACAAATTTTTGGAAATTTTTTTTCAACATTTTTAGGCTCTTTTTTTCAATGTTAACATATTGAAAAATCGAAAAAAAATCGAATAGCTTACAGGTGTAATTTTGGATTGCAGATTTATTAACCTATTTAAAACTAGAACAGAACAACTTTCCGAATCGAAATTAATGTATTTTTGGCTTAGTTATGAGTTTTTTAAGCTTTGATTTGTAGAACAAATTGTCATATAAAAATATCGAACTATCGACTCGAAAATGGTATTATTATTTCAGTCAGAAGCTTAAAAATAAGTGAAGGAGTCATTTGCGACCCTATATTCCATATATATTCTTGATCAGCATAAGCAGGGGAATCTTTCTAGCTATAAAATAGAGAAACTAATTTTTGAAAAAATTTTTTCAACATTTTTAGGCTCTTTTTTTCAATGTTAACATATTGAAAAATCGAAAAAAATTCAAATAGTTTATAGGTGTAATTTAGGTATGTAGATTTAAAAACCTATTAAAAACTAGAACAGAACAGCTTTCCGAATCGAAATTAATTCATTTTTGGCTTAGTTATGAGATTTTTAAGCTTTGATTTGTAGAACAAATTGTCATATAAATATATCGAACTATCGACTCGAAAAATGGTATTATTATTTCAGTCAGAAGTTAGAAACGCATTGAAGTAAGCATTTCCGACCCTATATTCCATATATTTTCTTGATCAGCATGAACTGGCGAATCTTTCTAGCCTTGAAATAGAGAAACAAATTTTTGGAAATTTTTTTTCAACATTTTTAGGCTCTTTTTTTCAATGTTAACATATTGAAAAATCGACAAAAATTCAAATAGTTTATTGGTATAATTAAGGTGTGCAGATTTATAAACCTATTAAAAACTAGAACAGAACAGCTTTCCGAATCAAAATTAATTCATTTTTGGCTTAGTTATGAGATTTTTAAGCTTTGATTTGTAGAACAAATTGTCATATAAAAATATCGAAATATCGAAAACATGATATTATTATTTCAGTCAGAAGCTTAAAAATAAGTGAAGGAGTCTTTTGCGACCCTATATTCCATATATATTCTTGATCAGCATAAGCAGGCGAATCTTTCTAGCCATAAAATAGAGAAACAAATTTTTGAAAATTTATTTTCAACATTTTTAGGCTTTTTTTTCAATGTTAACATATTGAAAAATCGAAAAAAATTCAAATAGTTTATAGGTGAAATTTAGGAATGCAGATTTATAAAACTATTAAAAACTAGAACAGAACAGCTTTCCGAATCGAAATTAATTCATTTTTGGCTTAGTTATGAGATTTTTAAGCTTTGATTTGTAGAACAAATTGTCATATAAAAATATCGAAATATCGACTCAAAAAATGATATTATTATTTCAGTCAGAAGCTTAAAAATAAGTGAAGGAGTCATTTGCGACCCTATATTCCATATATATTCTTGATCAGTATAAGCAGGGGAATCTTTCTAGCCATAAAATAGAGAAACTAATTTTTGAAAAAATTTTTTCAACATTTTTAGGCTCTTTTTTTCAATGTTAACATATTGAAAAATCGAAAAAAATTCAAATAGTTTATAGGTGTAATTTAGGTATGTAGATTTATAAACCTATTAAAAACTAGAACAGAACAGCTTTCCGAATCAAAATTAATTCATTTTTGGCTTAGTTATGAGATTTTTAAGCTTTGGTTTTTACAAAAATTGGTCTTAAAAATATAGATAAAATAAAACGAATATATTGTAATTGCAGATCGACTTAGGATTCTCCCCTGCTCCCCTGATTCAATTTTATTAAATTTTAATACACAAAACTCGGAAAATGGTTGCCGAACCTCAAGATTATAAATCAGAAACTGCGATGTAGATAGCCACAGCGAATTTCTATTGCATCAACATGGATTTTGCATGACCGACCGGATTCGATTCGTAGGACATCTGGGCAAACGGGGGAAGTCCTCTCTGACCTGTGTGTTCAGGTGTCCCTCGGAGTCCCTCGATGTCCCTCGATGTCCTCCGAGTCTTACGAAATCCCCCGCGGTTGCTGCAACGAAGTGTTAAACGAGGCCCAGCGTGCAACATATTCAATGCTAATATCTATTTCGGCACGGTTTCCTAGCGTGCAACCAAAGAGGCTGAGAGAGAGTGTCCTCCAGCGAGAGTCCTTTTTTGCTGCGAGGACAAAGGAGACCCGAACAGGACCATCCTCGCAGGAATCCCAGCTAAATGCTTTCAAATGCTTTGGACTTGGCCTGCAGGCTACGATGGGCATAAAGGACCACGGGGCATTAGGAGTGTTAATAGAAAAGTGCCTCCGGCTTTTTGGTATCCGGTATTCCGTGCTGGATCCTATAGATCACCGTTCAAGGTGTTGAAGAGCCGGCCTTGGGAGTGTCATAAAAGTTTGGGTTCCATCGTGGGCCAAGGCCTTGTGTTTAATTATTACGGGGACACTCGGCTACGGGAGATCGGAAAGGTCAAAGGATAAAGTCAACAGGGGGGTTTCCTTAATCTCTCTGTCTTTCGATAAGGATGAGGATGATTCTAACCATATGACTCTGATCAAGCTTAGCATTTGTGTTGACGATTCCACTGATTTATTGGGGCTTCACTATTAAAGCCATAAAAGCTGGCTTAGGCAATTGCCACTTTGGGGTCTCCGGGCTGTAGATGTGGATGTGGATGTGGATGTGGATGCGGCTCTGGAAGCATCTTCTTGAAACCGGTTGGCAGCCGGCACGCGACAGAGCCAGGCTGAAGTTTTCGGTGTGGAAATGCGACGAGGAAGAAGGCAGCTGAAATCGCTTGCAGACGAAACTCTTCCCACTTTTGGCCAAACAGGGAACACTCAACACCTCGCCAGGTGAGCAGCTGCAAATCAGAGAGAGAGACTGAGTGAGTGAGTGACTTTATCTCATTCCCTGATGGCCACAAAAAGAAATCCGAGGGATGCACTCAAGAGACGGAACGATCCTTGATCCGATGCTGCCTCTCCTCAGCGCAGGTAGATAATGTGCAGGTGAGAGTCGAGTTCGAGTTCGAGTTCGTGTCCTGGGGCCCTTGGGCCCCTATAAATAGCTGCAACGGCCCGGGGAAGGGCATCAGAACGGAGCCAGCTCTCGATCAGAACTCACCAGCTGAACCCACATATCTCTCCGAAGCAATCATCTCCATCTAACTATCATGGCTCTGGGCAGTGAGAACCATCAGTCCATCTACTACGAGGACTCCTCCTCCTCCTCCTCGGGCTCGGCGTCTCCCATCTGCGGTCCCTCCGTGGTCCGGCGGAATGCCCGTGAACGGAACCGTGTCAAGCAGGTCAACAATGGGTTCAGCCAGCTCCGCCAGCACATTCCCGTGGCTGTGATTGCCGACCTGAGCAACGGCAGACGCGGCATTGGACCCGGTGCCAATAAAAACTCAGCAAAGTCAGCACTCTGAAGATGGCCGTAGAGTACATACGCCGCCTGCAGAAGCTAATCGATGAGAATGACAATGGTCAGAAGCAGCAGCTTCAGCAGCATCATCATCAGCAGCAGCAATTGCAGCAGCAGTTGCAGCAGCAACATCAGCAACATCAACAGCAGCAGCAACATCTGCACTTCCAGCAGCAACTCGAGCAACATCAGCAGCACATTTACGCGTGGCAGCAGCAACTCCAGCTTAGTTCGCCCTCGGGAAGTGTGAGCTCCTGCAGCAGCTTGGACAGCAGCAGCAACTACTTCCCAGGTGTTGCAGCAACAGGTCACCCGGTGGCCACATCCTCCAGCTCCAGCTCCAGCTCTGCATCCCCATCCGCCTCGAACTTCGTTGCCAAGCTGGAGACCAGCTACGAAGACTATCGCAACAACTCGTGCAGCTCTGGGGCCGAGGATGAGGACATCCTTGACTACATCTCCCTCTGGCAGGATGACCTGTAGGAAGGGAGGAAATCCAGAGCTAGTCGCACACACACAAACACACCCAACCATTGATTAACCAATCGCAAAGTATTACCTCAGCCACCAAGTATTTATATTTCCCAAAAAACAAACTCTTTTTTTTTGCCTGTACAAATTAGTCAGTAAGATTTTTATGTAGTATTTACTTACGGTTGTTCCTAAGATCCTAGCTAAGTAATGGAAGACAATGTATGCTTAAGAATCTCTTTTTTTTCATAAACAAACATGGAGGACATTAAATCTATAATTATATGCAAATTCCTTTGACTTGTTTTCTGGGGGGACTTGGTTTTACAAGGAATATGTACTTCGGAGATTTGAAGTTTACATACCCTAGAAAATTGAAATTGAATCGGAGGTGAAAAATTGATCATAGCTAAGCTAAAAAAATTTGTTTCTCTATTTTATGTGTAGAAAGATTCACCTTTTGATGCTGATCAAGAATATATATAGTTTATATAGTCCTTCACAGTTTTTTAAGCTTCAGACTGAAATGATAATACCATTTTGGAGTCTATTTTAATCCATATTTTTATATGACAATTTGTTCTAAAAATCAAATTTTAAAAATCGCATAACTAAAATTCATTAATTTCAATTTGGAAAACTGTTCTGTTCTAGTTTTAAATAGGTTTATTAATCTGCATACCCAAATTGAGTTTCTAAACTATTTAAATTTTTGTCGATTTTTTAAATTGCTAACAATGAAAAAAAAGCTTTAAAAATTTAGAAAAAAAATTTCAAAAATTTCGTTCTTTCCTAAATGCCTAGAAATATCAAGATCAAGAATATATATGGAATATAGGGTCGGAAATGACTTCTTCACAATATTTTAAGCTTCAGACTAAAATGATAATACCCTGAAAAGGTATACAAAAATTCATTATTTGCTTTATTATTTCATCAAATGTCCGTTCGTGGGGGCCAGAATACTTGAATATATACTAGATTTTTTTCTCCTTTTTATACCCTTGCAGGGTATTATAATTTCAGTCAGAAGTTTGCAACGCAGTGAAGGAGGCACCTCCGACTATATAAAGTATATATATTCTTGATCAGGATCAACAGCCGAGTCGATCTAGCCATGTCCGTCTGTCCGTCTGTCCGTCTGTCCGTCTGTCCGTCTGTCCTTCTGTCCGTCTGTCCGTCTGTCCGTCTGTCCGTCTGTCCGTTTCTACGCAAACTAGTCTCTCAGTTTTGAAGCTATCTGAATGAAACTTTGTAGTTAGCCTTCTATATACTCTCACTCGTATATATGTCGGAACGGGCCGGATCGGACGACTATATCATATAGCTGCCATAGGAATGATCGTAAAATTTTTACAAAAAATTTTTAACTTTTTCAGTTTTCAATAGAATTGGATCAAATTTAAGATATAGCCATTTTACTATACTCTACAATTTTGTGTAAAATTTTATGAAAATCGGACTAATATTTCATATAGCGCCCATAGGAACGATCGAGAAATTAATACAATTAAATTTATAACTTTTTTAGTTTTCAGCTGATTTTCATCAAATTTAAGGTATAGCTATTTTATATTAGTCTTAAATTTTTTGTCAAATTTTATGAAAATCGAACGACTATATCTTATAGGTGCCATACAAACGATCGTTTGATGTAGAGGAAAAATGCAAATCTGTGAATGTAAAACTGCTAATATAATATGTATAGGTGAATGAAATGAAAGCAGGTATTATTATTCATTGTTTTTTAACACAAATATATATAATTTATATTGTATGGATTCCTATTCATAGAAGTTCTATCTGCAAGGGTATATAAACTTCGGCGTGCCGAAGTTAGCTTTCTTTCTTGTTAGATCTTAAACTTCAACTAAAGTTCTCGTGATGTTTTAGCAAAAAGGACAGGCACAATAAATAATGTTTGGAGCATGAAAATATCGATCTGCCGATCACTGGTACCGTTAAGCATTTGCCAGATCACCGATGATGGCCTAATCAATTATCCTAACAATTTGCAAGGAACCCTTCTGAAGGGAATTTTGCATAATCAAGGGCAATCGGGATGCAGGATTGAGAGCTGCAAGTAATTTACTCACTGCATTTTTGCATACGGCCAGGAACATGGATCAGAGTCAGAATGCCGCCAATCGTATCGAATCGATCGATCGATGAATGCTGCGACTCGGTCCTGTTGCTGGACTAATTTTGAGTTATTCGAGCAATGCATCCCGGCTGTCCAGGCCGGAGGAGAGTCTCCAATTGTCCAGAGATCGCCCCCGAAACCGAGAATTGTTTGGGATTGTTTTTGCAACACAACGGAAGCCGCCGAGAGATAAGGAAGATGCCAAAGCCACAGCGACATTGCCCAGCTAGGTATATATATATATATATATATATATATATATATATATACCTGTAGATTTATCCCATAGATCTCGTTGTTCCCCCTTCTGGCAGTCCACATCCGCTGGAGAATCAGCTAGCAACTCCCACGCGTATTTCCTGCTGTCCGAACTGGAGCTCCTCCTCATTAATACATAGATCGGTGAATTGGGGCTGGGAATACGCACTTCCGTCACCCAGAGCTTCCCCACTGAGGCCTTCGAAAACTGAGCTATATATGTAATATATATAGCGGCTATAACCGATCTCCTGTTTGCCAACCTCTTCATGGCAATCAATTCGCTTCGGAAGAACGATGCACCGAACGGTTAACAGGGCACTGGAAGAAAATCGAGGTAGATTACAGGGGAAAATATCTTTAAAATATTGTGTCCAGAGACTACTGCAATATAATATGATGGGAGCCCATCTTAGAGAAGAAAACCTATCCACTTAAAGACCTCCTTGCTCTACTTAATGAACTTCTTAATTGATCCAAAATACTCTCAAATAATGATATATTTAAAAGTATTTCCTTTGAAATTTAATTAAATATTTCAAAACTATTCTGACAGTGTTGTCATGGGTAGCTTTATAGCCAAGAATCGAACGGTTCTGAACGGTTCTGAAGCCCAGAGCTACAGATCTCACTCTCTCTCCTCTTCATGGCGTATTTATCGAATTATTATTTCCGGCTCTTGCCCGTTTTTGCATTGCACATAACATATATATATATAAGCAAGGCCCAAAGGGATTCTCCCAGCGAGGGAGATGCTGATTTCCCCACAAGGGTCCATCCTGGAGGATAGGGGGGAATATATCTATATATATATATGTGTATATATCCTCCATTGGCGGTCGCATTGGGCGACATACGACAATGTCCCGGCGACAGCAAACGGTGCAAGATCGAACGCTTTTTGTGTGAAGTTAATAATATGTTTGACATGGCCCCGAAAAAGGGGATCGATCGATCGATCGATCGAAATATATGCAGAAATATGTGGCAGATATCGCCCTGGGTGCCCCGCCGAGACCCAGGGCTATATCCTCGACTCGGTGGAACGCTTATATATATATTTTTGTGGTCTCTTTACATGCAACGAATAAATTTATGATTTATTAAGGATGCTCTGATTACAACACAACCGCCTCACGGCCCATGGTTCCCCATGACTGATGTCTCGTAAATAACCTCCTCGCAGACTGGACCAGAGACGGGGACTGGAGATGGAGGCTGGAGCGGCCAACAAGTGAGTTATTTGTTTAACATGAACGCGTTTTTGACTCACAAATGTTGACAAGGAATAATGTAATTTATGTTTGTCCCTGACATCTTTCCAGGATTTTTCTTCTCGCAGCATCTTTCTTCATCCAAGAGGGAAGGAGGGAAGGAGGGAGAGGGAGAGGCGTGAGTGGTTGCAATCGCATTGCACTTGCAATTAGAGATATTCGCACCGATATGGATGGGCGGTTCCCGCAGATAAGACACGAAATGCCGACAAATAGAACATGTCCTTTGTTTCCCATTTTTTTGCCCAGATTGCGTGCACAATTGTCCACGTAATTGTTATGTTATATAACTTCTGGCGAAGGGTCACAAAGGTGCACTTGTTGTCATTGTTACAGTTTCCCCTTCCCCTGGTTCAGGCAATTAAAAGGAACGCCCACGAGTGCATCGAAATTCCAAAGGATCCCCATGCCATTGCGTGTGCACTCGCCTAAGGATCGAACACTGGAGTTCTCCTAGTTAAGCTGATTATCCTTGACAATGCAGCTGAAATGATAATGATGCATCCTGGATTCCAGGAGGGATTACTCGTCGTGGGTCCAGCATCATTTGATGGCTATTAAAAATTATTATTACTATTATTTCCCATCAGAGGGTATAATGTTCTTGTAGAGAGAGTTTACTTACTTTTACTTTTAAATACATATATACACATATATCAGGAAAGTGGCTTGGAAACAATTAAGTTTCCTCTTGCTTCGCCAGAAACTCTTGAAAATGTCTTAATTACCACTCGAAAATGTCTCAATTTGACCACGGGGCTTTCACTTGGCCAAATTATTTAAATTAATTACAGGAATTGCGGCATCCTGGGATCATCAAAAGCGTTCCTTGGGCTCCTGTGGGGAAATGGAAGCACTCCTTAATTGCTGCCAAGCAAAACAACAAAAAACTTACCAAACAAAAAGTATAAACGAAGAAATTAATTAGGAGAAGGATGCTCTCCGCATTAAGACACGGGACAACCTTTGTTGATGAAAACATCATATTCCCCGTCGTCCTGTTCCTCTTCCTCCTCCTCCTCCTCCTGACTCTCTTCTCCTGGACTCTTGAAGGCCTTGAGCCACCCCGCGAGTTTTCCCCCGCTGAAGGCCAATAAGTCGTTAATGCGGCACATATTGGTTGGGGGAGGCACTTCATATTCCAGACAAGTCCTCGCTGCATCGGAAAGACTTTCGCCATCGGACATCTTCTCATTCACAAAGACAATTTCACACGATTCTCTGGGAATTTTGGCTTTCTTTTCTAGACTCAATTTCAAATCGGATATTGTTTCTGCCGCTTGAATTTCGATTTCACAACCATGACCAAAGGATTCTACGTCGGTGGAAAAATATTTAAGATACATTGTGTTGGAAAAAATACAAATATTTTAAGTGATTGGTACCGAAGCCAGATTGGAACTGAGAAAATCTACACCTGCCTTGGCTTTCATTACTTGACATTTCTCAAATACAACATTTCATGGCTACTGTGATCAGAATTTCTTATATTATGAAATATATAAGAATTATTATAATTATTTTTTATCATTTGAAGTATTTTTTTATTAGATATAAGAATATTTATATACTTGTCTTTAAGATGTTTCAATTTATATTTATTTCAATATTTAACTATACTTTAAAGTAGAAAAACCAAAGCTTAAAAAACTCATAACTAAGTTTTCCTCTAGCTTGGGTATTTATTTATTTAATATATGCTTTTAAAACATTATTCTGATTTTGTACTTGAACTTAAAACCTAAATATTACCATCTAGTCAGCCTTGAACTCCTTGTGTAAAATAAAAAGTCTATCTGCCAAATTCTGCTCCTAATAATTTTCATTACAATTCCATTCGTCGAACCAGCAACACCTTTAGTAAATATTTCTAAATTATTTTTATCCCGAAAAGAAGTTTAACCAAGTTTTGTAAATTTCAACAAATTTCCTACAAGTTCAGAGGTGTGTTTGTCTAAATTGTAATATCTATATGTGGGTTATGAAACCCTATATACTCCTATATAGGCTGAGCAGATACCAGAATCGCTGTCAACGATAAAGAGAAGAACAAGGTCTTCGCCTCTTCCGACTCCTGGAGGTGCTCCGTCAAGAAGTGCAGGATGGACAGGATGCGCTCCATCAAGACAAGGACAAGACCCTTCTGTCATGGCAACCAGTGGGGTCGGTAGGGTCGTCGTAGGGGTTGGACGACTCTGCCGCCTGTCTGTTGCTCCTGTCAATGCTGCTACCCTGGACACTGCTGCTACCCTGGACACTGCTGCCCCGCCAGTGCCGTTGCTCTCGGCGGTGCTGCTACCCTGGCTTCACTCTGGGTCCATGAAGTGGACCAAAAGGATCAACCATCGATTTATCCACATTGGCGGCCATCAAATCTGTGTTGTGAAGTGCATCGCTTATGGGGACCACTTCAAAGACCAAACACTTCTCAGAAACATTGGACAGAAAGTCATTGTCGTCAAGTGTTGTAGCCAAAAAGATAATTTTGGTATTGTGTGCTGGAATTTTTAGCTTTTTCTCATTTAGAAAAGAGGGTGAAAATTCCGGCCCACAATACTGATATTATCTTTTTGGCTACATCTCTTGACGATCGTGACTTTTCTGTCCAATGTTTTTGAGAAATGTTTGGTGTTTGGCGTGGTTCCCATCAGCGGTGCTTTTCACAGAACAGATTTGATGGCCTTCAATAAGGATAAATTGGTGGAATTGTGGATTGTTCTGATAAGAATACGATTCAAGCTTCTGACTAAAATTCTAATAGCATTCTTAGAGCCGATATTTACATATCTACAATTGTATATGAAAATGTATATTGACATTAATTTTAATTATAATAATTAATAATTAATTAATAATTATATAAATCTGCAATAATGTGAATTCGCTAAATTAGATTTGGTTTTTTTGTTGCTGGATTAGTTGTCTCTTAAATTTGCGCTAAATATTATATCGAATTTATTTTTTCAAATTTTTTCTTCTTTATTTAAAAGATTTTGATTGCAAATGGAAAGTTTAGCCTAATTTTGATGCTGATCAAGAATATATATGGTTTATAGTAATGACTTCTTCAGTGTCTGACTTTATTTATAATACCCTGTAAGGTTATAAAAAGGATTTATATATTTGTATATTATAATATAATATAGTATAGTTTATTAAAGGTATTTATTTGTTGTCAATTTGCTTCTTTATTTGTTACTTAATTACATTTAACGACCACCCATTGCGCGCACAACAGAAAAGTCAAGTTCGACACTGGAAGTTATTTAAGAGTGTCCATCCAGCTTATTTTGACGTCAGCGCCGCGTCCCCTCTCTCGCTTTCCAACGGCGCTCATCATCTCCGCCTCTTCCATTTCGCGGAGAGGCCTCTCCCGGCAGCCGCCAGCATTCAGTTACTCCCACGACGCCGGGCGAAACAGGCGAAAAATAAAGAACTCCTAGGAAAAGTCAGAAACTTTTTGCAAAAGGCCAACGCGGCGGTCAAAGGGGCAAGACAGTGGAAAAACATCGCGGAAAAGGCTGTGGCAAGTGTGAAAAGTGCGGGAAAACAGCGAGCCTCCACAGTGAAAAGTGTAAGTGAAGTGGAGGCAGCCGTGACGCTGTTCGTTTCTTTTTTAGGTTTTCTGGACCACACCTCGTGTGTGTGTGTGTGTGCGCATGGCCCAGATCAGTGCGAATTTTGTTGTTTTTTTTTCATGTGCAAGTGCAATGAAAATAAAAAAGTACAGCCACAGCCAAGCGGTAAAACAAAACGCAGAACTTTGTGACAAACGCCCCAAAAAATCATACAGTTTTTCTTGCGCCTGTTTCGCCCACTAATTCGCCGTTGCCGATCTGCTGCAATAAGCAACGTAAGGGGGTGAGTGAGACAACACTATTTACTAGCATTTAACTGTAATCCTCGACTATCTCGCTGCGGTCGCGAGCGCATTTGTTTTGCTTCTCCCTCCCTTCCTCCTTCGTTTGTTCTCGCTCTCCATAGTTGGGCTTAAGAGTGAGAGAGGCGCTTAAGAGATGCGCTCCTCTCTTGCGGGTTGTCAATTATGAAATCTGGGAATTGGGGAAGCGGCGTTTGTTTACCTTTTCATTTCTAGGCAATTTGTGAAGAGAAAGAACCTAATTGGAAGAGAAATTTAATGCAAATGAAGTTAAAGTTATATTGCTAAATGAAAGAGGTTTGACTTGTTTTTCCCAAGGATGCCTTAAGGAATGCATATCATTTAAAACAAAAAACAAACACATTTAGTATAATAATAATAAGGAGCGTCATTCACATTATTTCATTAAAATGGTTTATTCTTTTATTCGGTTATCAAAAAAAGAGTGAGGGGGGGGGGGCTTGAAAGGGATCCGATAGTTGGCTCGTTCCTAGAAGGATCCCACCAGCTGCATAGCTCCCTCAGGTGCCAGGCTCCATAATGCAATTTATGGCATTTAATTGGATCGCCGGAGAACCGAGCTGCGAACAAGCATTTGCTCTGGCGGGAAAGGAGCAGGAGCAGGAGCAGGAGCAGGAGCAGGGCCTAGACCAAGTCGCGTGGCATTTCGAGACTCCTCACAATATTTCCATATATATATGCATATGTATTTCCCTCTTACATTTAAATGCACTTCGATTTACTGCGTGACTGGGCTAATTAGCCGCCCTGCGTTGAAATTCACTTTTGATTTCATATGTATTTCATCAAATTGCCGCTGCGCACGCGCATTAAGAATCGGACTCGAAGTTGGAGTTGGAGTTGCCAGTGGAGATAAGAGACCTTGGTTTGATTTGAAAATTACTCGCACAAAAAAAGGGAGCACAACAAAAAAGCATAGGCTACGAACAAAAAAATATATATAAATAAAAAACAGCAAAAACTGGTTGCTGCCTTGCCAATTAAATGTGGTCCAGTCTCCCCGGTCCCCGGTCCCCGGTCCTCGATCCCAGCTCAGAGCCCGAAGTCCGTTGTCATTGCCGCGGTTTACTTCAAATGAGGGACGCGCGCGTCCAGCGCCAAAATGGCAATCTTTCGGAAATTTATGATGAAAAAATGAACACTGTCGCTTTTTTGAACATTTTAATTATACACAGACAAAGACAGAGAGGCCGGTCGGTCGCTGGAATAAAAATATATTATCGGGAGCCAAGATTTTTGTTGGGAATTACCATTATGCTTCAATGGCGCTCTGGCTTAACCGGTAGCCCCCAAAAAAACACCGGTAGAAAGTAGTTACTGAAATTGTTACACTTATAAATATGTCAACTTTGGAATATTATTTACAATTTAAATGCAACAAATTCCAAAAAAATAAAACTAGAGGGGGAATATATATTTCTTTAGGCAAATGTGGCTGAAATTTCGCTCTGTGTGGCCAGAACTGGAAGCCACAGAGGGACCTCACCCAGAAATCCCAGGGCAGAGTACACTTTTTGGGGGCTTTTTGAAGGGGGGCAGCATTTGGCGAGTAATTAATAAATTCGCAACGCTGCCACAGGATATTTGCATAAGAAATTATGGCAATGAAATGTTATGACCGCGCTCGTGACAGACGACTTCCAGCACTTCTCCTGCTCCTCCCTCTCCTGCTGTTGTTCCTCCTGTCAAGGTCGCCTTGGCGGCACTGACTTTGAAGCGCCTTCAGTGCAATTGCATAAGCCAGTTTTCGCCAGGGATCGCCTCCAGCTGTGTGTGCAAACTGGAGGACAGAAGACACTTTGTCTGTGCGGAGGGACTCCCTTTTCAGCCTTTCAGCCTTTCAGCCTTTCGGGTGACAGTTATGCATATGATGTCCTGGCAGGACAACAGGGCCACAGAGCGTGTGGCGAATGTCCGAGAAACCGAATGGCACAAACAAACACAGGACATTCTTTGCACGTGGCCCGGGGATAATGCACCACCGCCTTTGTGTCCGCAACAATGATAATGAAAAGTAGTCAACGCAAATTGCATAAGGGCCTCTGTTTCTCGCCTTTGAAAGGACGACACAGGACACAGGCCAAGGCGTTTGTAAGCCTCTTCAGAGGTTGCGCCCCGAAAATCGTTTTCTAATTCCGTAAATTCTTTAAATACGAATATTCCCTTTCCGGAAGGGACACGCGGCAGGAGCAGAAGCCACAGACTTCGGCACTTTCAAGTCGACGTGCAGCGCCTTCGCAGGAAGTCAGTGGGAGGACCTTCATTGCATGTCCATTACATGAACTCTCCTTAATGGGAGTCCCCGAGTTACAGCAGCTGGACAAGAATAATTATCAAAGTTCCTCCGAAGAGGTGACTGCGGATAGAGGTGGCTTCATCAATTCAGCTCAAGAAGTCCATCTATATCCTTTCAATTCCCTATTAAATCCAAACAGAAAAACAAAAAGAGACTTATGCCTATGCGAACTTCTTCAGTTTAATTCATGAAATAGCATCCGCATCCGTCACCTCGCATTCCTATCGCTCAAGTGTCCTAATAAAGCATTGCATATTTAAGAAAAATCCTTGTACAGGAGTTGTGGTTCTGGTACAGGTTTTGGAAGTGGTTTTGGTAGTGGTTTTGGTAGTGGTTTTGGTAGTGGTTTTGGTTGTGCGAGCCTTGTAAGCGTGATGGCAAACTTCTCGGCCAAAGGTAACATGCCCAGGTCCTTTGGCCGTGAATCGCTAGTTATCCATCATATTCCTCCAGCGCTAGCGAAAGCTGTGATTAAAGGTTATACAGATCTTAATATATTATCTAATTTATAGTTTTGGCTACATTAACTTACCGCTAAACTGTAGTAGCCATTGCCTTTTTGTTAAATTGTTTATATCCTGAGTGTAGAACGTGTGCAAACTGAATTTAATGCTTAATTGTTTACATCCTGTGTTTAGCCTCTGGTAGCACCTCTTTATTGGTTAAGAAAATTTCACTTTTTTAACTTTTCAAATATTTTTTTTTTATTTTTATACTTTTACTTTAACTATGAAATGAGATGTGCTCCGGACGAGCTCAGCTTTTGAAATGAAAATATTTAACCAGGAGCTGGGTACATGCTGGTGATACTACGCTTGTTCGATGACATTAGACTCATGGATTACGAGATGGTTTTCGGAAACATCTAGATACACTTTTATTTTAAATTCTAGAAAACATCAAGTCGCTTTCTATATGTATTTCCTCGCTTATAAACCCAATTGTTCGCCCTGAATACACTTTAGAGGGTACACCTTCGACACACTAAACACACACACTGAATATTAGCGATAATCTTTGAATATTTCACACACTTTGCGTTTCGCATCGAAACATCGTGCGTGTGAATCCATTAAAAGAGCAGCCGTCAGTCGGATTGCCACCCTTTAGTTCCGTGGCCCCGGTTTATCCTTCACCTGGGATACGAAAATTCAATTAAGAGAATCGAAGCGAAGGGCAGCGTTTCTACGAAAAGAGTCCCCCTCTTCCCAACAGGTGGATGGATGGTATACCTGCACCTCTATTTGGCCAAAAAAGAGTGGTGTGAAAATGGAATTATAAGACTGAGGACCGCAAAGGGGTCCCTCTTGTTATGTTGATGAGCTGGTGATCGGAAACGGGAGTATACTCAAAGATATTAATGGGCGTAGAAATCAATTTGGAGAGTTCGATCGAAAATCTGTTGCTTGATGTGGGTTGTTCCTGTTATCCTGTTTGCCTTTCGTGTGTTTGCTTAGCTGTGAAAACCGCTAAGCCGGGGGAATTGATCTTTTGGCATTCTGATTTCCGATTTCCGATTTCCGGTTTTCGGTTTTCTGTTTCCGCCCTGGACTTATGCAAATATTTGGCCAACGGTCCCGAGTAGGGAATCCTTAGTCCCTAAGCCGTGGGAATCGATTGCCAAGCAGTGTTATTCTTCGGGGGCGTGGGCAGTTCAAGGACAATGGAAGCGATGTAATATCCCCCCAGGCAATCATTGCCTAACAAGCGTCCTTGCGGCCAAGGATCAAAGGAGCAGCCGTCACCTGTTTCGTCGCGGCAAAGGTGCTAAATGGGGCGTACTAATGAGATCAATGCAACAATGAGCGGGGAAATGAATAGAAATGCCGCGGCATCGAACAATAGTCGAGGGAGAGAAAGCCGCAGGATAGCCAAGGATATGGAGAGCCAGTCAATTGGATAATCGTGAATAATGACTTTATCATTCACTTGTGCTAACAATTAGGATTCCCGAATAACAAATGAGACACTCCATTGTTCTCGGTGGGATTTTGGGTCCTTAAAAACCCCGATTCGCAGGCAGTCAAGCTCTAATGAATTGCTGATCACATTTTTTATGATCTCCGTTTTTTCACTTCTTCGAAACATTAAACATTTCCCCCTCATCTTGACCGATCGATCGATTGCACTGGCAATCCTCTCACTTGTCACAAAGTCGGCTACTCAACAGCTTCTTAGTGCGATCGTATCGACTTGCCACCATGACGCGGACTGTCAGTAAGCGGATCTTGGCCGGATAAGTGTCGATCAAGCGGCAATCTTGTAAGCCGCTCGCTTCTCGGTCAGCCAACAAGCGAACTGGGGACACGATCACCACCCAGAAAGTGAGATTGAGTTGGGTTTTCCCACCGAAAGATCAGCGCTCAAATCGTTAAATATGCACACTAAATGTTAAGCCTTAAATCAGCAGAGAATTCATTTAGATCACTAAATAAATAAATGCAATTTAATCATTTGAGGATACCAACTTGGGTTATATGTGTTGTTGAAGGGGAATCCTAAGGAGTGTGTTCCTTGTTCGTCTTGATCACTTGATTTTTTGCCAAGTCAGCAAGGTGCGAGATCGTTTAACGCCTCTCCACCTCCACCTCCATTTCTTCCTCCATCTCCCTTCAGAGATGGCCAAAAGGTCGGCTTTTCGCGTTAATTGGGCGAGGAGTGCGGGTCGCGTCGGCGGCAGGATTCGTTAGCACGTTTGCGGTTGTACGCCAGGATAACAAGGATATGCCACCGAAGACCGATAACCAGGGACCAGAGACCAGAGGGAGAGAGGGAGGGGAACCGGCGGCGGCGGCGGCGGGCGGCTGGCTACAAAGGCCGCAAACTCGCGGCACTCGAGCTCTCGGAATTTGAAAATGCAACATAATTGCGCTGATTATGAGGCCTCTTCGGTGCCTCTTCGGTGCACCATAAATGCCATTAACAAGCCCTCTTTGGCCTTCCAGGAACCATCCAGGTTCCCGCGCACCGCCATCTCATGCTCCTGCTCCTGCTCCTGCTCCTCGAGTCCCGCGATCTTTACCCTTTCGAAGAGAAAGTGAAACGTGATCGTCGATCGTCGATCGTTGAGGTGATCGCAGCGGGCGTGCTTGTTTCCAAATTGTTTACAAAACGTTTGACCGCAAAACTAGGACTTGAACTAGGGACCAAGGACTATCTCAGGATCAGCATCAGGATACACTAGGAGAAATTAGGTAGTTCCTTTTCATAGTGAAGTTATGTGAATATAGGATACATATATGAAAAGGAAATAATATCTATCTATTAACAAAGAAGCTAGGAGCTATGAAGAGTCTATAAGATGCTATGTTTTTGTTATTTATTTTTGTTTGTTTTGTATTTCGTATACCTTTTTTAAGTCCAAAAGCAGATTATATTCCGCTCAGAGACAGAGATATGAGGTTTCCTATGCAGCACCTTTAATATTAGTTGAAACAGTGACCACATATTTCTCCCAGTGCCTCTGAAATGGTTGACCTTCTCTCTACCTTTCTTTTAAGGGGGCGTGTGACTATTTTTATACCCTTGCAGGGTTATAAAATTTTAGTCGGAAGTATACAATATATATATTCTTGAACAGCGTCAACAGTCGAGACGATCTAGCCATGCCTGTCTGCTCTTTTAATGTATCAAAAGTAGGAACTATAAGGTTACTTTTTACATGACTATATCTAAATTATATTTTATTAGTTATTAATGATCTTATAACAATCTTTAAGGGTATACAAACTTCGGGGTGAAAAAGAAAACAGTCTTTCTTTGTTTTTATTGTGATTTGATTGGGGGCCGCACTTTCACCAAATAGAGCAATAAATTCCCAAGTGTTGACGTTGATTTAGTTTATTTGGAGTCAAAGTCTAAGTCGGAGGCGTAACCGTAACTCCCTCCCCTATTCCCTAATCTATGTTTTAGATGGAAAATTTATGATTAATTATTGTTTTGGTTCGGGACAGTCGGCGCTGTCCCGCTGGGCCTTAAACGCCGCCTAATGCCCAAATGGATGGCATCCAGGTTCCAGTCACAGTCACAGTCACAGTTGCGCAGAGCGGATGCATAAATCGATATGAAAATCACCAATTATCTTATGCAATACGGCGACAGTCGCAGCGAGGGAGGAGGATATATGTACCTGAATATGTGTATATATCCTCTGCCCGATTCCGCCCGACTCATAATGCATTGACATCGGGCCTGATGATGATATACAATAATCGGGCAGCGGCAGCGATCAGAACATTGCGCTAAACGAGCAACTAACCAGAAGAGAAACGAGTTTAAATCCCCGAATGAAATGGCTCAAGTGTTGACTTGCTGATGCTCTATGGTTTGGTTTTTGGCGGGGTCATCACATCAACAGGTATCAGTCAGATGCCAGACTTTACTTTCATTTCAACTGCAACTACTACAAGTGATTGCATATTGATAATTATCGAAATCTTGGCTACAAAGCTTGTAGATCCGAAAGTACTTTCTGTCCCCACAAGAGCATTTCCGATCCGCTTTGCCTGGTCAGTGATGCAAATGCCATTGGCACAAACGATAGCCTGGACGTCGGTCATGTCTCCATCTCCAGCTCCATCTCCATCTCCAGACGAGGTCCGTTAGTGCGGAGAAAAAGGAACGATGATGATGACGCTCGATAGCTGGTCAGCGCCCTTTCTGGACTCTGCAAGAGTCTGAAGATCGGAGACCAAAGACAGAAGACAGAAGACTGAAGACTGAAGACTGCAGACTGAGGACTGGGAACCAAAGACTGCTGCAAGAGACTGGACAGAGGAGATTGCAGCGCGTTCATTTCCCTCTCAACGCAACTGGGCTCAAATATACAATGATATAATAAATTGAATGACATTCATAAATAAACAATATATAGGAGGCCGACTGACTGGTGGCCCGGGTTGTCCCCTGGCAGCTCCTCCTTCTCAGGCTTTTCTTGGGGTCGCAGCAGCGTAATGAAGACATTAAAAACTGCTCCTGCTTCTTGGTTTTTTTCTCACAGCTTGCCCCGAGTTGTGGGAGCCATGAAGTGTATCCCTGTTTTTGCGAGGGGAAACCCGGGCCAAGTTGGTATTACATGCAAGAACAACAACATCTTGGACATCATTATCAACAATAACAAGAGCAAGTGCGCCCACCCAAAGGAATGGGATATCTGTTGATGAGGGGAGCAAGAAGCAAATACACACAGAAAAAGAAATTATAGTTCCTGATGAAGTTTCAGAGGTAATTCCCAGTTTGGATATAGTATTTCCCTTTGGTTTCTTTGTGTAGTAGTATCAAGACAGAGGCAGGACAGTCCCGGTAGCCATGTTAATCCAGTTTGCTACTCGAACGATGCTGGGGACTAAGCCAAATTGATGTCTCATTTAACTAAGCAGCGGGACACCAATAACAACAACTCAGGGTCAAAAAGCAAAAGCAAAAGCCAAAATAACCAGTAAAAACAACAACGTTTTTTGGCCAAAATGCAATGATAATAAATGCGCTCCACTGCCTGGGTGGTGACGACATCCACATCCTCATCCACATCCATGAGCAGAAGGAGAAAGAGGCTTCCATTTGACTATATGACGATGGCATTAACATATGTACATATATATAAGCTCGGAGGATCGGGTTTAGGGTTTGGGATTCCGAATCGGAATCGGAAGATTGTGGGGACTGGGTCTTTGCCATGCGCTCTTGATGAACCTAATTGACAATTTTTTGTCAGCGCTCAGTGTGTGCGGATTATGATTGCTTTTATGCTAAAACGGGAACGAAAAGAAAAGGAGAATCTGGA